TAATCCCAACTATACATAAAAATTGATAGGAATTAAAAGAGCTATTACGACTCAAGAGAGAAACCTTGGAGTCTTTGTGGATTGTTCTGTGAAAACATCCACTCAATGTGTAACAGCAGTAAAAAAAGCAAAGAGGATGTTTGGAATCATTACAAATGGGATAGAGCATAAGACAGGGAATATCGCATTTCCTCTGTATGAATCCATGGTACATCCATATCTTCATCACTGCCTACAGATGTGGTGCCTCATGTAAAAAAAAAATCTTGGCTTTAAAAAAAAGTTTAGAAAAGGGCAACAAAAATGATGAAGGGTTTGGAACAGTTGCCATATGAAGAAAGATTATAAAGCCTCGGACTTTTCATCTTAGAAAACAGAAGGCTAAGGGGGTATATGATAGAGGTCTATAAAATCATGACCTCTCATGGAGAAAGTGAAAAAGTAAAAATTATTTACTGGTTCCCATAACATAAAAGCTAGGGGTCATCAAATGAAATGAACAGGTAGCAGGTTTAGAAGGAAGTTTTTCTTCATGCAACACACAGTCAGTGTGTGGAATTCCTTGCTAGAGGATGTTGTGAAGGCCAGGACTTTAACAGGCTTCAAAAAAGAGCTACTTAAAGTCACCGAGGATAGATCCATCAATGGTTATTAGCCAAGACAAGTAGGAAGTTTGTGTCTATACTCTGTCAGAAGCTAGGAATGGGCGACAGGGTGGGATCTTTAAGGATTCCCTATTCTGTTCACTCCTTTTGGGGGCACTGACATTGGCCACTGTTGACAGACAGGACACTGGGCTAGATGGACCTTTGGTCTGACTCAGTACGACTGTTCTTATGTTGTCTTGTCGGTGGGAGGTAGTTAAGCACCTGTGAGCCACAAAAGGTTTTACACTTACTTGCTAGTGAAGACAAAGCCTCAACAAAGGTGAGTGTCTGCAAAAAATGTATCCCCAAAAGAAACAAAGGAATCATAAAATCATAGAATCCTAGAACTGGAAAGGATCTCGAGAGGTCATCAAGTCCAGTTCCCTGCCCTCACGGCAGGACCAAGCACTGTCAAAATCATCGCTCACAGGTGTCTGGCTCACCTGCTCTTAAATATCTGCAATGATGGAGATTCCACAACCTCCCTAGGCAATTCATTCCAGTGTTTAACAACTCTGACAGGTTTTCCTCATGTCCAAACTCAACCTTCCTTGCTGCAGTTTAAGCCCATTGCTTCTTGTCCTATCATCACAGGTCAAGGAGAACAATTTTCCTGCCTCATCCTGGAAACACCCTTTTAGATACTTGAAAAGTAACTGAAATGCAGACCTTTTGCCCTCAATACCAAGAAACTGGTATACACTTCCAGTCCATTCTGTTGAGTACAATGTTTTGTGTAGATTTTTTACTTGTTTCACTTTGAGCAGAGTTTCCCAGAGCTGTATGCCAGGATGCCCAGGTCCTTCTCCTTAGTTCATACAGTTCAATTAGAACCTTGTTGGGTGTTTGAGGAGTTCAAGATTTTCCCTCCAATGGGCAGTCATGTTGCAGGTTTTGACATTGAATTTAATATGCCATCAGGCTGCCCATTCCCCTGGCTTGATTGGTTCCTCTGAGGAATTCTCTGGACTTTACTGTGACCTAAATAATCTGGTTCCCTCTCCAAGGGCATGTCTAGACTACAGGGTTTTGTTGTCAGAAGTTTTGTCGACAGATACTGTCGACAAAACTTCTGTCGACAAAGAGCGTCTAGACTACATCCAGTTCTGTCGACAAAGCAAGCCGCTCTGTCGACATAACAGTGTGGACACAAAGGACAGTGTAGATGCAATACTGCCTTCTATCGACAGAACTCTGTCAACAAAAGGCGTTATTCCTCGTAGAATGAGGTTTACATACGTCGACAAAACTGCTGAGTTTTGTCGATGTTATGTCGACATAACTCAAAGGCAGTGTGGAACAAAAGTCCACTTTTGTCGACAAAACCCTGTAGTCTAGACACACCCCAAGTGTTGCTCAGTCCCCTTTCAAAATTATTCATAACGAAAATGCTTGTACTATTTGTAATAAAGAATGTAACCCTCCCCCAACTGTCTCTACCCCTTCTCAGGCATTTTGCACATTGCTGACTCTGACTGATGCATGAACCACCTCATGGCAACGTTCAACCTCACCCCGTCATACCCATCAACATTCATCCTAATGGGCATCCCAGGCCTGGAAGCTGCCCACAACTGGATCGGCATCCCTTTCTGTGCATGCTACGCTATTGGCCTCTTGGGAAATTTCACAGTTGTGTTCATTGTAGGCAAAGAGCAGACCCTGCACAAGCCGATGTTCCTGCTGCTCTGCATGCTGGCGCTCACCGACATCGGCATGTCTACCTCCGTCGTACCAAAGGCCCTGTGCATATTCTGGTTCAATATGAAAGGCATTACAGTGGGTGGCTGCCTCACCCAGATGTTTTTCCTTCACACGCTTTCTATTACGTATTCAGCCATCCTTGTGGCAATGGCCTTCGATCGCTACGTTGCCATATGTAACCCTCTGAGATACGCCATCATCCTCACCAATGCACGAACAGCTAAGCTAGGTCTGGTGTGTTTGACAAGAGCTGTTCTCTTCACTTTTTCTGGAAGTCTGCTCCTGATAAAACTACAATTCTGTGCCAGCCACATTATTCCCAACACGTACTGTGAGCACATAGCTGTGGCAAAGTTGTCGTGTGGGGACATCACAGTCAACCAGGTGTATGGCTCTGTGGTAGCATTTTTAGTCATCGGGTTTGATGTGATGCTCGTCGTCCTGTCCTATAGTCTGATCCTCAGGGCTGTCCTCAGAATATCCTCCAAGAAAGACCACCAGAAAGCCCTCAACACCTGCACAGCCCACTTCTGTGTGATGCTACTTTCTTATAGTTCCATCCTCTTCTCCAACCTGACTCACAAGTTTGGTCAGGGCATCGCTCCCCACATTCACATCCTTTTGGCCAACCTTTATTTCATCATCCCCCCCATGCTCAACCCCATCATTTATGGGGTGAAAACCAAAGAGCTTCGCGACAAGGTGCGCAAGTTCATCTGCAGACGGTGAACACCTGTGGACACTAACTTTATACCTGAGTATGACGAAGGATAAAGAATTTCTGCTTGTTCATCACAGAGTGCTTTGTGCCATTTTGTCTGAGCTCATAACTGTGGAAGTTCCAAGTCTGAGAAATTCATCTCACCCAACACCAATCCCTTCTTCATCAAACACTGCCCTCTCCATTTGCTACGTTCCGTCTCTCTCACCATCACCTGCGCTTCTGCAGGGTCGCCCATCCGCCACAGTTAGCCTTTCTGTGACATTCAGAGCAGTAGTTTCTGAACTAGCTTTTCAAAATTGTGTTTGGCCTACTGACTCATGTTCAGTCCATGCCCTGTGCTGCTCTAGGATGACAGAGAAACATCCTCCCTGTAAAAAAGACAAACAGTGGGGGGACTGTATTAGGAAGAAGGACTTGGAATTGATGACTTGGACTGAGGGCTAATGAGAGGCCTGAGACATGGGCTAAAGTAATCAAACATTTTCAGCTATAAAGCAAAGTTACACTATGAGCAAGAATCAGACCAAGCGCATAGAATCTGAGAGAACAGAGCTAATATTACAAAAAACTCCCATTCCTAAGTAGTGATAGGCACAAGTAGAGAACTATATCATCAGAAACACCGAAAGATGTATTAGGGAAAACTGAACTACAAAAGTTTTGGAAAGTATTTAGACAAACAATGGAACAAAAAACAGGACTATGTAGCACTTTAAAGACTAACAAGATGGTTTATTAGATGATGAGCTTTCATGGGCCAGACCCACTTCCTCAGATGAAATAGTGGAAGAAAATAGTCATAACCATATATACCAAAGGATACAATTAAAAAAAATGAACACATGTGAAAAGGACAAATCAAATTTCAGAACAGAAGGAGGATGTGTGGGGGGGGAAGGTAAATGTCTGTGAGCTAATGATAGTAGAGGTGATAATTGGGGAAGCTATCTTTGTAATGGGTAAGATAATTAATGTCTTTGTTTAACCCTAAGCGTAAAGCGTCGAATGTAAGCATGAATGACAGTTCAGAGGATTCTCTTTGAAGTGTGGTCTGAAAAGGTCTTTGAAGCAGGATGCAGGTAATCAAGTCGTTGAGACAATGTCCTTTCTGGTTGAAATGGCAAGAAACTGTTTTTTCTTTGTGATCCTGTCTAATATCTGTTTTGTGGGCATTGATCCTTAAACAATGGTCATTCAAATCAGTTCCTTGTGTCAGACTGTGTCCTTCTATTTGTCTCAATAGTCTCTTTTATTTTTCCCCTGCTTCGGGGAAGTTTTGGAATTCCTCAACTTCACTCAACTGGTAAATAGTCTTGGAAATACTTTAGATCACTCTATTTTGTTTTAAGATAATTCCTTGTTTCTTATTGTGTCCCACTATCAGAGTCCTGGAACAGGGAGGAATACAAAAGGGACATCGTTTTTGCAATGGGCTCCAGCACCAGAGTGAGGGTGTTACAATGTGGAAGGGCTAGACGTGATGGGAGTGAGGGACTTCCATTGAGAAGTTAGCACCGCTGACTGGGGTGGGGAAAGGAGCAGATATACACATTCAGTTGTGCAATACTAACACCTATGGGGCAGGGATTGCGGTGTATACGCACAGGCAGGGTGCAGTAAGGGTCAGAGGTCCAAGGGACAGGGAGTGCATGAACGAGTGGGCAGTGGTAGGGGCTGTAGGGGCAGGCAACTGCATGTCCATAGCCAGGTGGTCAGGGCTGCTCAAATTAAGACATTCTTTGTGATTGCGGGTTCAGGGGACCTTTCCTTTAGTGTCTTTGCCTGGGTAAGCCCCATCACTGCCACTTGCAAACATCCTTTATGGACCTCCACAAACATCCAATTATTTTCTGAACCCAGTTGTACTTTTGGCCTTCACAACATCCCCCTGTTAAGGAGTTCCACCAAGGACTCGGTTGTGTGCTGAACCTTCATTAGTTTGTTTTTAACCAGTTGCTTATTAATTTCCTTGGGTTATCCCTGGTTCTTCCGTAACGAGAAGGAATAAATAAGAATTCTGTATTCCCTTTCTCCACTCTAGTCAAGGTTTTTTTTTTTAGATCTTTATCATATTCCCACTAGGTTGATTCTTTCCAAGCTGAAGTCTCCATCTTTTTAATCTTTCCTCGTGTGGAAAGATTACCCCTAATCATTAAATCTGGGCTAGGTAGGGAACTAAAACTTGTTTGTTATTTGATGTCGAGACTAATATGTTAATTTTTTAAAGTTCTTTCAATAAATAGCTTGTGCTAAGGTTAGGTTAGTTTTGGAGTGATATTGGGCTATTCATGCAGCAGAAATTGGGGGAATCCAGTGCAGTACTGCAATGAGAGCTGGACACAGAGGAGGAGTGGCTAGAAACACAAGGTTGAGAGAAGCATAACAGAAGGCAGAGCTGGGAGGGAGCCAGAGAAAAAGCCAGAAGAGCCAGAGACAGGGTGGAGGTAAAGCAGCGGTGCTGAGGAAAAACTACAGAACTGAAGAAGGAGCAGCCCACAAGTGGAAGAGCAGTCGGCCCAGACCAGCCAATGGGGAGCCAGGGCTGAGGTACAGTGATGAGCTGCAGAGCCAGAGCCATGATACTTCATGTAGGCCAGGCTATAAGTAACACGGCAGCCAAACACAATAAGCCAATGGGGAGAGCAAGATGGAGCTTTGGGCAGAGGGCCCAGCACAGAAAGACCCCATGATACAAGTGGCTTTGAAGGCTTTGAAGAATCTAAAAGGGTGTTACAAGGGAGTGAGAGAAAAATTGTTCTCTTTAGCCTCTGATGAGAGGACAAGAAGCAATAGGAGGTTGCAGCAAGGGAGGTTTAGATTGGACATTAGGAAAAAAATTCCTAACTGTCAGGGTGTCTAAACACTGGATTAAATTGCCAAGGGAGGTTGTGGAATCTCCATCACTGGAGATATTTAAGAGCAGGTTAGAACAACACCTGCCAGGGATGATCTAGACGGTGCTTAGTCCTGCAGTGAGGGCAGGGGACTGGACTCAATGACCTCTCAAGGTCCCTTCCAGTTCCAGTGTTCTATGATCCTACGACTCAAAAGCGGGGATGTGAACCTGAAGGGAGGGCAGATGCTGGGGAGAAGGCTCCTACTGTCCAGAGACTGAGGGCCTGTGGCCACTGCCAGAGCTGGTGCCTTACCTTAGGTATCACCACATTGCAGCTGGTCTTTGGGCAGGAGGGCTGGGATGTGTAAAGAAGAGATTGTAACTTCCTCATATCCCACAGACAGCTTTGTGATATTCCCATGCTCAGAGGATGGGTTCCGTCTTTCCTTGACCCTTTCCCATTTTTCCTTTTTTTCCCCATTGCAATTGCTGTTTAATAAACTATACTTTGTTGAAGCAAAATGCAGGACAATGTAGCACTTTAAAGACTGACAAGATGGTTTATTAGATGATGAGCTTTCGTGGGCCAGACCCACTTCCTCAGATCAAAATCTGATCTGAGGAAGTGGGTCTGGCCCACGAAAGCTCATCATCTAATAAACCATCTTGTCAGTCTTTAAAGTGCTACATTGTCCTGCATTTTGCTTCAACTACCCCAGACTAACACGGCTACATTTCTATCACTATTCTGCATAGACCTCCAGTGTGCCACATGGTTGGACGTTAATGTAGTCATCATTGATTGGGGAAGTGTTCGATGTGATGGGAGTACCTCAGAGTGGGGACACACTTAGCGCCTTCCTATGTGACCACAATGAGACTGGGGATTTTGCCTGCCAGGAATCCTGGGCCCAGCCATGTTGCCATGACGAGGACTCTGCTACACAGGAGAGTAGAAGGGAAGGCTTTGAGGTCAGGTAGGCCTCTGGGTAAAAGGAGTGGAAGCAGGGACTCTGAATCTTTTGAACAAACCGATGGGTTGGATTTCACTGACACATAAAGAGAATCATCACATGACTGATACAAGCTGAAGGGTGTAATTTTTGGGGGCACACTTTCTGCATAAGATGAATGTGATATCATTGCTCAAGACAGTTTCCCAGAGACTGCTATCACTTAAAACATGTTCCCGGTAGTATTTTATTATGGAGTTAGAGTAGTAAGCCTCCACTTGTTTTCTTAAATACATGTCATCACAAATGCACGTTTGGTGAACAAATTTACTATCTGATTCATCAACAATCCCTTCCTCTCAGATTTGTTATTTAGTCACAATGAAGACACCCATAGAAACAATTCCCCTGAGGAAAAATGCTATGGGTGATTATGTGCCTTAAAAAAGGGGGGAAAGGTTACTTTTGTTTTACTCATTGTGCTCCAAAAATTGTGGAAATGGGCAATTCTGTTTCAAATCTGCTACAATTCAAGGTCAAAGAGAGGAAAATGGGGCAGAGAAATTGAGTCTGAAGAAAGGGAAAAAGGCAGTTCATTTTGTGGCAGACTAGGAAGGAAAGCAGACCTGATACAGGCAGCTCCAGGAGAGAGGAGCTGAGGGAAGGCAGCATCTCCCGATGAACAACTACTCAAATGAGGGACGGGAGGGCCTGGCTCAGAGACATCCTGAGCGGGAAGCATTCATCTCTCAGATGAATCGTTCTGTATCCTCTGAAAACTTGCCACCTCGCTGTTTACCCCTTCCTCTGGATCAGTCGGTCTGTATCCTCTGAAAACCTGCCACCTCGCTGTTTACCCCTTCCTCTGGATCATTTATGAACATGTTAACCAGTAGTGATCCCAATATTCTAGCTGGTCCTGGTGGCGTATGACTGTTTAATTTAGCCATTTTTTCCAAAATGTCTTCTAAGGACACCTCACTCTGGGACACCTCCTCAGATGTATCACCTAAAAAGAATGGCTCCCCTTCAGGAATTTCTCTCTCCCCTTCTCTGCAGTGATGACTGATGCAGGGTTGGGGGGTTCTTGTGCTGGCCGGCTGGGGTGTGTTTACACAGACAATGTGTTCTAGCCAGGCCAGCCGTCCCTGTGCCGAGTCCATGGGGTGCTCACTGACTAATAGGCCAGGCTCTGCTTTTGACAGGCCGTGGCTGT